TGGAATACATGTCTGCATCTACTCGAAGAAGAAATGGCTACTTCCTGTAACTATGGTTCTTCGAGATGTGAGGCAGACGTATTCCATGACCCATCCTCCGTCCCCTCTGTATCAGAGTCTTCCCCAGGACATCGATGCGAAGGAACTGAGGGGGGTTCCAAGCCCATTCCCTTCCACCTTATATGATCCCTAGCCTCTGTTTGCTGGAAGTTGGGAATGGGCAATGGGGATGGATCATTTGATGATTACCTGTTCTGTTTATTCCCTCTAAAGCACCTGGCTTTGGGCACTGTCGGAACTAGATGGACCTTTGGTTTGATGCAGTAATCCCATTCTTATGTTCTTATTCTGCTTTATTTAGCTTGCCCAGGCTTCACCTCAGGTTCAGCTAGGTTTAGTCCAAATTGTAGAATGACTGGTATCCTCCTTGTATTTTGTCTTGTCTTTTAAACTGACTTTCTGGAAGGAGATCACCAATCTGAAGAAGCCCTGCGTTGGTATTAACCTATAGTTGCTTTGAGATAAGCAAAAGCTCCATCTGGGGCTGAGAAAGAAGAGGCTGCTGGGAGGAGACACCGAAAGCCCAGCAAACAGGTAGCAAACAGGTAGAGGTGGAGTTACCTGCAACAAAGAGGAGCAGTGGTCCAGATTTCGGACTTGTGATAGTCTCTGCAGAAATTCAGTGTGCAAGCTGAGACCAAATTCTCAACAATGAAGGGTTATTTTAAAGGAGCAGGGCTGCTGGCTAATTGAATAATATTTTACAGGTTTAAAAACTCATTAACATCTTAAAGCAATAAAAATTCAAAGTTTTGTAGAAATACAAGGGAAAATGTTAATCAGGTCAATTCCTGTGATAAGTGGGAAGGAAACTAAAGTTGCCATACCAAAACTTTTGTTTTGTTACACTCAAGAATATCTGTTCAGATTTCTTGTTGCTTCTAGTCAGGGTATAAATTCTCAGTTCAAATTCAACATTATTTAGCATGGCAGTAGACTAACATAGAATCCTAGAAATGTAGGTTTGGACGGGACCGTGAGAGGTTATCCAGTCCAGCCCCCTACACTGAGGCAGGACAAACTGTTCCTAGAACATCTCTGACAGGTGTTTGTCTAACATGTTCTTAAAGCCCTACAGTGACTGGGATTCTACAACCTCCCTTGGAAGCCTATTCCAGTGCTTAAATATTCTTATAGTTAAAAAGTTTTTCTTAATATCTAACCTAAATCTCACTTGCTGCAGATTAAGCTTTCTCATCATACATTCAGTGGATGTGGAGAACAATTGATCACTTTCTTTTTTGTAACAACACTTAACATATTAGAAGATGGTTATCAGGTGCCCTCCCCGCCCCCTGTCTTTTCTTAGGACTAATTATGCCAGTTTTTTAATCTTCCATCATAGTTCAGGTTTTCTAAACCTTTTACCATTTTTGTTGCTTTCCTCTGGATTCTCTCCAGTTTGTCCACATATTTTCTAAAGTGTGCTGACCAGAACTGGACATAATACTCCAGCTGAGGCTTCATCAGTGCCAAGTGGAATAATTACATACAATACTCCTGTGAATGCATCCTAGAATATTAGCCTTTTTTGTGAGTGCATCACATCATTGACTTGTATTCAGTTTGTGATCCTCTATAACCCCCTTTTCAGCAGTACTACCATGTAGGTAATTATTTTCGATTTCGTAATTATGCATTTGATTTTTCCTCTCTAAGTGTAGTACTTTGTACTTGTCTTTATAGAATTTCATCTTGTTGATTTTTAGATAAATTCTCCTCCAATTTGTTACAGTCATTTTGAGTTCTTACTTTGTCCCCCAAAGTGCTTGGCACCCTTCTCAGCTTGGTGTTGTCTACAAATGTTATAAGCATACTCTCCACTCCATTATCCAAGTCCTTAATGAAAACATGGACCGGTACCGGACCCAGCACAGACCCCTGCAGGATCCCACTAGATCTATCTCCCTAATTTGACAGAGATCCATTGTTAACTACTCTTTCCATATGGTCTTTCAACCAGTTTTGCACCCACCTTACAGTAAGTGCACCCCATATTTCATTGGGATTCCAAGTTAGTAACCCAAGGCTAATGTACAGTTTTATATTGAACAATTTGTTTTAGTATTTAGTCAAGCTTATAGTTAAACTCCCAAGATGTGTGGGGTTCTTCCTAGCACAAAAATCAGCACTTGTCAGACTATACTACTTAAATTTTTTTCTTTAGAGCATGAAAAATCCTCCTCTGGTGTTCCCTGTTCTTTGGAATTACATTACTGGAAAATCACTAGTTACATCTGTACTTGTGTTCATATATAGACATTTGTTTTTGCAAGTTTGAGATATTTATAGTGTCTCCATAATTTAGGAAGTTTAGAGTTACTAAACCAGAATGAGTCACATTGATTTTTTTTTTTTTTGGTGGTAAATATTTTAAAATATGCTTTGCCAAGATATGTCCCTGGAGGTTGTTATCTTAATTTGTTTTGAATAATCTAAACAGTTAGTTTAAATGTCAGGAATCCCTTGGACAGCACAGAGTATAGCACAATGACCCCTCTGACTGTGTCTGATTTTCAGGAACAAGCTGTTAGAATTCTAAGATTTATCAGGTGGTACTGGTTACACATATCTGTTACTCCGCCTTATTGTTAAGTAGCCAGAAATATGTTCAACATGAGTGCTTCACAACAAGAAACCTCTTTATGTGAACTTTGTGTTCATCTCAAAGAGAAGGAGACCTAATTATTACCACTTGGAGGTACTAGAGATTGAAATGAAATAAATGTTGGTCTGTCTTGCACATTTTATTTACCAATCTGAGGGAATTGTATGGAAAGCTTTTTTACTGGTGTTTCTTGGTAGCTTTGAGATAGTTAAATAAAGTCATCTTAATTTTTTTTGATAAGTGCTGTTACTCACCTAAAAGATGAAGCATAAACAGCTAATTGAAAATAGTCCAGTTCGTTACTACTTAATATGGTAGTGGCAAACCTCCTTTTTCATATTTGTAAGGGCTCCCTTGCCTGCTCTGCTGCTGTGTAACACATTGAAAGACCTCACAAGACAGGCAGGCTACCCCTTAAAACTACATTAAGTACTGAAATATAGACATAATTTTGAAAGTAAACTTGTTTTCTGTGAGCTGGCATATAACATTTTTCTTAACGCCCGTGCACCGAATATACTAATAGCGTTCAAAATGCTCTGTTTTTGCTGCTGCTAACCAATGAAGATTCTCAATCTGTGGTGATGGAGGTTGTGCTTGAAAGTTGGTGCTTCCTCTGCTGTGGCAGATGCATAAATCTCTAAAACTTGTCACTATCTACATATACGATTTTCATTGCCTGCCTCCTGTTTTATAAAATGTTCTAGAGCTCTTGGTGATATCAAGTACCATAAATTACTGATGATCAGTTCTTGGTATCACCCAAACAGTAATTAAAGCACTTTAGAATATTAAAGAGGATCAGCCACTGGAGGCTTAATTAATAATACAAAAATAACTTTTTCTGGTGCTTTATAGAGGTGGGACCTGAACTGTAAATAGGGCTCCAGATCCAAACTTCTTCCCTAGGATTGCAGGTATTTGGATCTGGAGTTGTGATCCATTAGGGTACTTTATGCTGAGATTCAACTAAGTGGGCCTGTGGGCTGTATATAGAATTATCCCCTTTTCTGAAAAATTGTCTGGAGTCTGAGAGTGAGAACAAGTATAGGCTGTTTAACTAAGCACGTGTCTCTGATTTGAATCCTTCTCCTAAAGAGGCTATGTCAAACTCTGTATTATATTTACACTAATGACCATTTGGGGCTTATAGAATGTAAATGGAAAGAAATTAAAATAGGAATGATTTACCCTTATGCTACACCTATGTCAAATAAATGTGCAACAATCTAGTGCAAGCAACTTGCATTGTGGAATCTGGTGTCCATGAGTTTTGATATCCCTTGTTAGGGCTCTACCCTACGGACAGTTTTACTAATTACACTGTAAACTATACTTTAAAAAGTAATTTTTAATCGAGTTCTTGTAGTAGAAAGTTATAACAACAGATCTGACATCAGAATGATGGATTGTAACTATTTTAGAACATTAAGTAATGCCATTTAAATGAGTGTTTTGTGAATGGTTCAAGTGACCTTCATTAAAACTTTAACTTACACAGACTGAAATTCCTTCAACTTTACTATTTAGAGTAACTATTTACATATTTGTAACAGTTGTTAAATAGATGTTTTAGAGTTCTTATAAATCTTCTGGGGCTTGTAAATGGCTTTAGGTCTATATATTGGGTTAAAACAAACTGCTCTGAATTACATCAGATTGACTACATTGCATAGCCTGAGACAAAAACTGTCCTAGTGGCATGCTTGTGGTCACAGTAGAGCCTGAGATAAATCTTTAAAGCCTATCCTTTTTCCTATCTACATTGTATATAACATGAATTGTTATGATGTAGTTTTAGATTGTTGCATTAAATGTGTAATAAATAATACTTGACAAATTCCAATGATTTGAGAGGTAGTATGATTTATTAACATTTGTAATTCAAGATTTTAAGGTCTTTGGGATCAAGGGCCCCACAGAAGAAGTTTTATTTTTTCTAACGGACAAAATGGAAAAAGAAAAATATTTTAGATTATCATTAGTTTTTAATTGTTCCCCTACCCTTAGGTATATGTTCATTTTAAAAAAATCCCAAATTGTATGGTTTCTTCTCATTGAAGCTATAAGAACCCTACATGGAATTTTTCCCTAAATACTTAAAGCCTATCCATTATTCTGTTTATAGTACTGCTACCTTATTAATGGCATATACATATTCTATAACATTTTATGCTGAAATGATTTTACTCTCAAAAATATTATCACGAAAAAGTAGAAATTGGTTTTCATTTCCTGTTCAGAGTAAGCAGTTTATTTTATTGCGATGGTTTTCTTGATGTAATGGCAATAGGCTACGTCCATAAAATTTTATTTTTTTTATTTGTTTCAGAACCCTGTCAAGAAAATTCCAGACTCTCATGAAATTACACTCCAGCACGGGACCAAAACTGTAAGTGATAACTCCTAGACTTTTTATATCCTTATGGATTTCTCCAGAATTTTTGAACCACTTATGACAAATGAGATAAATATATATTTGGTTGCAACAGCCATAAAACTTAAAATGAAATACAGTAGGAAAAGGTGAGTAACCTCTGTCCAACTGGGCAGCCACCGGTGCCAATACAAAGTTCCTTTCTGGACTCTGCAGCTATGAAGATAAGTAACAAAAGGCCTGATATTTGGAGGTGAAGATGGAGATCATAAAGATTGATGGGTGCGAAATGTCCTTTTTTTTTTTTTTAATTAAAAAAAGAAAGTCCTCAAGTGTCTTGGAGTGGTAGCTGCTGATATTTGTAGCTTGGGGCTGCGGGTAAATCCTTAACTGGAAAACTGGATCATAAGAGCAGAATGCTGTTGGGAAATAATTTAAGCTCCTCAGATCAACTGTTTTCTTTCCAAAAGGATTAGGAAAAAAGCAAATGACAGGAAGTCCATGTCAGAACCCATTGAAGTCTTGATGTTCATGTGGGTCATTCAGGACTCCAGAAGAATTCAAATTTTCTGCCCTGAGAATAAAGCAAAAATTAGGGGTAGTATCAAAAATTTAACTGATGAGACAATCCAAGTCGCAATAATGATGTCCTTTTGCACATTTATCATATCATTCACAAGAGAACCCTCTTGAGTGAACCTTAGGACATGTACAGTTTTTTACCTTTCAAGATGTGCAGTGAATGAAGCAAGGGGCTCGCTTTCTCCTGCAGACTTCCTACAGATTCTTCCCCTCAAGGAGGACGACTATTTTGCCAAATTTCATCTTTTTCCTCAGTTTAATACAGGAGCTGTAATACTAATGCTAATACAAACGTAACATTAGTGGCTAATAACCACTAAAGTGTGTGAATGCTGTCTCAAGAGAGAAAAATCCTTGAGCTAGAATAACTCCCCAACCAACATGGTTAGAGTGGTCCTGCTTGTAGGGCAGACTGTCTTTCACTAGGTTTTCTTGGTGGAGCTGCATAAGCAGTTTGTGATTTCTTTGACTGTTCACAACAGGATGCTGTGGCACCAAACTTTCCAATTTTTAATACCCATGTAAACCTATAGCATTTCTTCCAGTTCTGACGTATCTCTGGTAGAGGAGCTGTTGAATACATGGGATTTGAGTGAAGTACCAGTAGGACTTCAATGAAAATAATAATCCCTGCTGTATACTTTTTCTGTATGTGTAAATGATAATGCTTAAACATTTTTGAATTTTTAAGTGTGTGTATGTATGAATTTATTGTATAAAAATATCAGGGTTTAACGTGGGTTTTTACACACATCACTGAAATGATTTTTTTTCATACAGCAGCAGTTAAACATGGTATTTAAATTGCTGGTGCAATAAAACCTTCATGATACCAGATCAGGAATGTCTTTCTTGTCTGGGATAGCTCAGTTTCATCAATGACTGTAAACATGATAATATTCAGACTGTGTTATTTTAGTAATAAAGCATGTTCCTTTTTTATCCCCAATATTCATTTTTAGTGCATTCTTACTTTGTATTAAATACAAAAATATTACAGCATAATAAATCAGAGCAAATCAGATCCAGCATCTTAAAAAAACCTAAATTCTGATCCCGGCTCTGCCACTTATTTGGTATGTGACCTTGGAAAAGTCCCCTAAATCAATCTATCTCTTTACCTATATGTAAAATGTGAATAATTACGCTTATCCAAGTTTTGTACAATATTTTGACATCTGTGGGTGGAAAGCTGTGTAGAAATGTTTCAGCTGCGAGCTCTTTGGGGTAGGGGCTGTGTTCTTGTTGTGTGGAAGGTACTTAGCATATTATAAATAACTCTTTTTTCCCTGTCACGGACACACACGTTTCTCATCTGCTTTCCTCCTGTAATCCCTTCATTTGCTCCAGTGACCCCATCCTATCTCATCTCCTGACCTCTATTATGCCCACTTTCATCCCCTTCCTCACTCTTCATCTAAACACCTGACTTTGCTCTGGCTCCTCTCCTCACAATACAAGTGTACTTTAGTATCTTCCATTTTAAAGAAACCCATCCCTGACTCCACTTGCCTTTCCAACTACTGCCTTGTCTTCCATCTCCCTTTCATTTCTAGGATTATAGAACATGCTGTCTACAAAAGCTGTCTGGGTTAGGGTTAGGCTCTCTAATGACCTTTTCCTAGCCAAATCTCAAAACCAGTATTCCATCCTCATCCTCCTTGACCAGTCAGCTGCCTTTGACCATACTCTTCTTGAAGTCTTGCCCTCCCTTTGCTCTATCCTCTCCTGGTACTCCTCCTACCTCTCTAATTACTCCTGCAGCGTGTCCTTCAGAGGATCCTTCTCCCTCTCTCCCCCCAACTTTCTGTAGGGTCTCCATTGGTCTTTGTCTTTGGTCCCTATCTCTTCTCCCACACTCCTAATCTCTGGGTAATTTCATCTGCAAACAGAAATTCAACTACCATCTCTGTGCTGATGACTCACAGATCTGCCTCTTTACTCCCAACCTATCTCCTTTTGTTCAAACTAAAATCTTGGCTGTCTCTCTGACATCCCCTCGTGGATGTCTAGCTATCAGCTCAAACTCAGCATGGTCTAAACCAGCATTTCCCAAATGCCGCCATCGTGGCTGCATGTGGCCACCAGGAGCTTTTCTTGCAGCCACAGCCTCCTGAGTGGTGATGGGTGGTGGTGGGGTGGGCAAAGTAGCAGCCCCTCCTCAGGGGCCACCAGCAGTGCTTGGAGCCTGCTCCCCTCGGAGAGAGACAAGCTGGAGGATCAGGTAGCCAGTGAGTTCCCCACCTTCCGGGGAGCAGTGGGGTTGGGCTTCAGACCTGGAGTGGCTGGTGGCAGGCTCCAGCCATGGGGCTTCAATCTCCATCCCCAGGCCCTGTCCCCTGGGTGTGGGGCTTTAGGTTCCATTCCCTGATTGCATGGTGGTGGGCTCTGGTCCTGAGCTCACCCCTCACCCATCATCCCTGGCCTCCACTGCCTCTCCCAGTGCCCCATCGCCCCATCGCCCCAGGCCACTGCTGCCTCTGTACCCACCTCCCCTCCAGGGCTTAATTTGTCCCCGGGCTTGCCGGGGCTGATTAAGTCTGCTATGAAAAGTGATATTTGTATGTTTGTTAGTATCACTTTTCACAGCACACTTAGTAGCCAGTTCTGGTGTCCCTGATGTGGTGGTTGAATCCAAACTCAGTGTTGACCGGGGTACCCTTCGCAACCCCATGGCCCACAATGACTTTGCTATCAGAAGCATCGGATTTGGGGTGGGGTGCCCACATTGGCCACCTCAAGACCTAAGGTCTCCGGTCGCAGGCAGAGCTATCTCTACATATAAATGTAACATAACTCAGGGCAATATGGTTGGCCTGCGTGGTGTTCCTCCCACAACTCTCAGGCAAGTCAGTACAGGTCTTGATGGACAACACAGAGTCCATGTTCTATGTCAACAAGCAAGGAGGAGCTCGCTCCCCAGCCCTTTGCCAAGAAAACCTCAGGGAGTTCTGTGTGGAGCATTCCATTCATCTGGAAGCATCGTGTTTTCCTGGGGTCTGGAATGTATTAGTGGATCGCCTCAGGAGGTCCTTTTCCTCTCACCATGAGTGGTCTCTCCACCCTGAGGTTGCCAGCGTCATCTTCCAGAGGTGGGGAACTCCCCAGGTGGACCTGTTCACCTCTGCAAAGAACAGGAAATGCCATAGTTTTTGTTCAAGGCTTGGACAAGGCAAGGGTTCCCTGTCCGATGCCTCCCTGCTCTCATGGAAGGATGACCTGCTGTACACCTTCCCTCCGATTCCCCTGAAGATCAAAAAGAACAAGGCAAGTGTTATTGTGATCACCCTACCATGGTTGTGTCAACATTGCGCTTCTAGATCTCACAGTGGCAGCCCCGTGAATGTTCTCTTAGGCCGGACCTAACCTCGCAAGATTGCAGACAGCTTCTTCACCTGAACCTCATCTCATGGCTGCTGCATGGTTAAATCCGGACGCACGGCCTTGTTCGGAAAAAGTCCAGTAGGTCTTGCTAGGTAGAAGGAAACCCTCTACTAGAGCTACCTAGCAGGCCAAGTGGAACCGCTTGTCTTGCTGAGCAGCCAAGCCAAGCCTTTGCCCAACTCAAGCTTCTCTGCAGTCCATCTTAGACTATTTACTTTGTCTGAAGCACTAAGACCTATCGTTATCATTGCTCCAGGTCCACTTGGCAGCAATCTCAGCATTCCACCCTCTGATCAAAGGCACATGGATCTTTGCCCATGAGATGACAAGGATAATGGAAAGTTCACAACCCAATTCCACCATGGGATTTAAACCTGGTCCTATCCAGACTCACTGGCTTCCCTTTTGAGCTCATGGCATGTTACTCCCTGTTTATCCTCTCATGGAAGGTTGCCTTCCTAGTGCCAATTATTTCCCCAGAAGAGTTTCAGAACTTCAAGCCTTGACTTCAGATCCTTCTTACATTGTCTTCTACAAAGATAAGGACCAGCTGTGCTCTCACTTAGCCTTCCAGCCCAAGGTGACGTCACAGTTTCATATCAACTGGGACATCTTTTGCCCATCAGCTTTCTGAAGCTGCACAGGATGGACAAAGAGAGCTGTCTGTATTCTTTGGATGGTAGAAGGGCCCTGGTCTTTTATATCGACAGGACTACGCCCTTCTGCAAATCAACGCAGCATTTTGTGGCTGTGGCGGATAGAATGAAAGGGCACACTGTGTTGCCCCAGAGGATATCGCCCTGTATCACAGCCTGCATCTGGGCTTGTTATGAGCAGGCAAAGGTGCCACCCTCAGCTGTCATAAAGGCCCATTCTGCAAGAGCGCAAGCATTCTCAGCAGCGTTCCTCAAGCAAATACCGATTCAGGACATCTGCAGGGCTGCAACATGGTCGTCAATTCATACCTTTGTGGCCCACTGTGCCATTACCCAACAGGTCCGAGATGATGCCAATTTCAAAAGAGCTATGTTGCAAGCAGCACATCTGTA